ATGTCATACCATAATATGATGATAACGAGATCATTAATACTTATAAGATGAGTAATAATACGACGGATACGTTATCGGTTGAGTTGTCAAAGGATCACAGCGCAGCGCCACGCATGCGCGACAAGAGCACAAACGAAGACGGAAGAACGCTGCGATGACTTCTCCGGATATACATGAACCATTTACTGACCAAAATGCTTTAATTACAGTAGATTTTAAATGTGGCAATACAATTATCCCTCAGGAACACTATGCTGATATAAAATGAAGGGAATAAAACACGCTTTATGTAAATACGGAACTTTATATCCATTGTAAAAGACAACTACTACTACTTTCTACTAACAAAACGTCTCCTATTAGTCCGATAGATGTCGCTGTTGTGTCTGAGAAGGCCCATAACAACAATGTCAACCAACTATTCTTTCTTCTCTTTACATAATACAGAATAAATAATATAGACATTACAAATGATTGGCTAGCAATTTAAAACATTACCTTGTTGCAGCCTCCTCAATTTGCACATCACCTGTTCCACTTTGAGCTCTTGCATGTCTCCACCTGGTAGCAGGGAAATATATGAGCTTGTTTTGGGGGGTTTTCAAGATTAGTTATAGATAGTTGTACTTTAAACAACTTTGACTTGTTCACCTCCTTTCAGTGCTGTAACATTAATCAGTTCCTCAAAGTTGAATCCTGTTACGCAAATCAAAAATTAAATGTTAGACAAGTGAAAAGGTTTTGTCTTTCTCATCCTGTACCTTTGTCAAGAGCAAGTGTTTCTGACTGTTACATGGTTCAAAGTTACAAGCTTTGTACAGAAACAGCCATTTTCAGGTTTTGTCTCAGACTTTGATGATATATAACTTTATTAACTTATATATGAGAATATCTACTCTAATGTAGCTAGCATATCTTAGTTACCTAACATTAACTAAAATCAACGACTTTTCTAAATGACGGTAGAATAACACTTATCATAGTTGAGTTATTATCCAGTTATAGAGGAAGATGGTGAACATTATCCCTCAGTCTTTCTCCTCGGCACTATTACAATTATGTTACCACCGTTTTAAAAAACGTAACGCCATTTACGCAGTGACTGTAATCTAAAATATTTCTCATAGTTATTTTAAAATCTGTATAAATGAACCGCTACAGTGACTTTAATAGTTCATCTTAAAATTGACGCCACCTAACCTGCTGAATCACTCATGTTTACAGGGTCGTCTTTTCTTAAACCTCCTCCTGTCCGGACCTCTGTGTAACTGTTACTGCCAACGGTCCGAACTGACGAGGCCTTTTATAAGCTGTCAGTGGACGAGGCCTGCGCACGAGGACGGAACGCGATGTTTGCCGCCAAAAGACACATGAACCGTGCGCGTGGACCACTGTACATGTACAGTTACAGTTGGTTCAGGTAACGGTTATGGATGGAACGCAAACGGTTACACTGAACAATAACGGCTGCTCTGCGGTTGAATAATAATAACTTCTATGCGATTTATACTTTAAATGTTCACATGTAATATTTTTACTGAATGGAAATTAATGCTAATTTTTATCTTAATTTTCTTGATTTTATGACATTTAATCTCTCAAAATTCGCTATTATATTTAACAACTTTTCATAAGTTAATAACCTAATTCAAAACAATAATGATAATAATGCCCTATTTGTAACCCAAGCATATGACATAACCAAAACTTTAAGGAGATTTCCTTAACTTTGGTTATGAAAACCTATGCAATGGCAAGTGTTAGGAAATTAATATATCTTTGGCATTTTGTGCTATGACTTTTTGTTATTTATTGGCTAGCATGTATATGTCTCTGTTGTGATGCAAATTGTCATGCTCTAGTAATTACAATCAAGAACACAGCTGTTTTGGTTTATCAGAAATAATGTAAATGAACACAGAAGTTCGACACATTGACATTGTATTAGTTTTAATGAAAAGCAGCAGTGTACAGGAATGCGGTTCCATTTTGATTTAATGCAAATATACAATGCAAACAGACCTACAAAGCCCCAAAAGTACTTTTATCTATACACACCAAACCACTAAAGAGTTCTATATACACATACACGTTAGTTAGATACAAACACAGGAGTTAAAAAAAGTTTAACAGGGCTGCCAAACAACACTGTGTCTCCTCAAAACAGGAATGCCTGTACAGTGTGCATTATCAGCACATGCAAATGACAGAGTAGGTCATGCAAGAGGTGAAAAATCAATACAGAAAGTTACACAATAAAAACTATTGTTCATGTTAAATACATCATTAAAGTTGTGTGTTTGTGTCGGGACTATTTTGGCTTCCAGTGCATATTAATTCCTTCTACCTGTGTCGCTTTGTTGAGCCGGTATGTTATGGTTTCACAATCAACTTAAATAATAAAGTCTTTGTAAATTTCCAAACAGCCTGATTTTGTTTTCCTCAACACCAGCGCCACCTCAAAGCAACCCTGGTATCTACACCAAGCTTAATAAACATATCATTTCCAGCAAGTCTGGTGTTCATCAATTCAGAAGTTCTGAAACCTGGATCAGCTTAAAGCGGTCGGAAATTTAAATCCTTCGACTTCAGTTCACATTTGGTTTAATGGGAGAAATAAATACAGCACTAAATCTTCACTTCACGTTAATGACTAAATGACAGGAAATTAGAGAGGACAGTAAAGAAAAAAAAAAGGAAGAATCTAGAAGAGACATCTCAGAAACAATTTCAGAACAAAAATGTCTTCCTTTTGCAAAGATATTCCGTAAGAATATATAGTTTATAAATATTAATTTATGTTCATGTATACATCCAACACTGAGCTTCATTCGTTTGCGATTAAAAGATTTTAGTTACTATACTGGGTAAGCAAAGTTCTGATATCAGAGCACATTTTTCCCAAAAAGCAACACATCTATATGAATCACTCCAGCATGCCTTTCGGGGG